TGGAGTTACTGGGTGGCCACCATTTCATGTATCAGAGGCACATGGTGAGAACAATGGATGGCTGCCATTTTAACTCACAGACACTGTTTAGACTTTTCTACATAGTGCCATCTCGCCGGTATTTGGTGCACAAAGACATTGTGCAGTAGTGTTAAACTATACAACAGGGGACACATTATACAGTAATTATTTTTCATATAGCCTGTTTAATGCAGAATCTGCATTAAACTGTATTTTCCAAACTACTGAACGGATCTGGGTGAATTTTGGATATTTGGATATTTTTATGGGGTTATTGCATGTTTTGGGGTCCCTGTGATATGTTTTATAATACTGTATTTCTCTGCCTGTGATAATTAGATTAACCATTGTGTTCAGTAATCATATCACAGGCAGAGGGGAGGATTTTGTGTGGGAGTGTCTGTGTTTATTGTACGGATTGATTGGTTGTATTTCAAAACCCTGTGGGCTGTACTATGTTTGTGGATTGTGAATAAAAGAGGCTGTATGTGCCAGTACAGTCAGTTCTGCTTGACCTCAAAACAAAGTGTCGTCTCGTTATTGGGGGAATTGGATTGTATGCTGATTGCCAGGAGTGTAAGCTGATTGTATGCTTTTCCTGTTCAGCTGCTTACAGCATTCATATGCTTGAGAGCATTCGTATGCTTCTCAGGTTCAGTGGTTGTGGTGTCTGCTGCAGTGCTTGGAGTCCTCAGGAAGCGCTAGGAGCATCCTTCAACGGAGGTACCCAGTCGGGGTGCCAGGTGATCTGTTACACTGCATAACACATCCATAACTTTATTTATTAAATCTCTTCTTTTCTGTAGCCAAATTGTTAGAAATAAATAAGCATAAATTAACATATATACATATATAACTCAACACATATACAGTGACCCAACCGTCCTTGCCAATAAACATACAGTGGTTCCTAATCACCACTTCCTCTCACCTCCCCCCTCATCATAAATCATATCCTTCCAATGCCCGCTATCAGCCGACTTTATCCAACCTCGATGGGCACGACACCTCAGGCAACCTAATGTTAACCCTTTGAATCAGGGTTGAAACCTGCAAACATAATGAAACTTACTCCATCCTTAAACATAACCCCTCAAACTTAATTGGCAAGGACATACCCCCGCCACCAGACCCGCTGTTTTACCCCTAAATTAGCGGGGACCCCACCAAAACCACCCATGGCCGAGATTAACCCCTTAAGGACACATGACATGTGACATGTCATGATTCCCTTTTATTCCAGAAGTTTGGTCCTTAAGGGGTTAAAAAGGTCGAGCCAGACCTCCGTTAGGTGTACACCATCCCCCCAAAAAAATTGTCCGCCTCCCGCTCAAAAACCCTATGGCGGACCGGGATCACCCGAACCCCCCAAAACAAACTGTGAAACCCGCCTGTTTAACTTGCGTCAGCAACGCTCCATGGCACTCTGGCTCCTGGCGCCACGCCAAGTTACAGGCAATGACTTCCGACCGGACCAAGCGCACGATGGGGACCAAAACCAAAATGCGGGCTAAGTCCCGCCTCACTGCCGAAATCAAATCCCAAATAGGCACTGAACCCAAATCATTCCCCCCCAGGTGGATCACCAGAATACTCGGCGCCCCCAGGGATGGGACAACTGCACCAACTCGGGGAGGAGCCGAAACCACCTCATACCCCTCGCACCAAGTCATCGAACTTCTGCTTCGGAAGGCGTGAAAGCCAACCTCCTGCTTCCAGGCTGAACCGCCGCACGCTGCCCAGCCCAGTAAACATAAGAGTGCCCGATGATCCAAATCCTGGGGAGATCCGAAACTGCGGAAAGAAATCACGTCAAAGGCAGAGGGCCCTATAGTTTCAGGAATACAGCTTTGTACTACTAATACTAATAATATTCTTTTAATGTTTAGTGAATAAACCATGTGTTTTCATTGTGAGACCTCAGTAGTAGGTCCGTTCAATCGATATGATGAATTAAACTGCTGCCCAAGCTGATACAGATTGCTATCAGCTTACTCAGTGACGGAACTACTGCACGTCTTGGAGGGCCCATCAGATGGCTCATGCACTAAGGGCCACCCAATCTGTATTAGTGTTAAACAGGGGCCTGGTCAATCACAGCGGCTCTTTTAGAGCCTGACCCCCTGCAGTACTGGTGATGACGGGAGGAATTCAGGCACATCCCCCCCGGACAGGTCTTATCAGGGGCCCGGTCATGTGCTGCGACCCTTTAGCAGCGTGACCAAGCCGCTTTAATGTTTGAACAGAATGCTGGGAACGTGTATCTATGTGTCAAGGTGTGTCCATGTGTCCAGGTGTGTGTATCTTTGTGTCTGTTTGTGTGTATATCTGTCTGTATCTGTGTGTTAATGTGTATGTATACCTGTGTTTGTATATATGTGCATACATCCCAGCAATCAAACACAAACTCAACATGCTAAAACACCATTGCAAATATTACAAACACACCCCTGAATTCAAACTATAACATTATATACAAACACAACCGATACTACACACAATGTACATCCACATTTAAAATACAACACTACATACAAACACACCTCTGCAAGGATATGCAATTATTACATACAAAAACACTGTATTAAAACATTAAAATGATATACAAACATCAACTCTACACACAAAAGCACATCTACATTTAAAAGCAAACATTACATACAAACACATCCCTTCATTCAAACGCAAGCATTGTGTCTCTGGTGGTCCTGTCTGAGTCTGGGTCCTAGGTGGCCACCTTGGTTGCCTTATGCATAATCCAGCTCTGACTGGGACGTATTCCTAAACAAGGAGCATGTGCTATTATTGTGTGTGTCGTATCCCTTTAAGGCTGACTGAGTATCATGGGAAATGTAACTCAGAAAGATATGGGCTGCCCAGATGAGCTTTTACTGCTCTGTGTCATGTGAGTGGCTGTCATTCCTGACAGAGCGCATGGAGGATTTATGGCCTCTCAGCTCACTTATGTAATGTTTCCCTGCAGAGCGCCAATAATCACACTTGTTTCTCACCCTGTAGTATCCTGAATGGATACCGCAGAACTGAACGAGAAATATACTGCAAACATGTATATCTGACCTCAACGCCAATCTCTCGCCGGTTCACAGTCCTTTAATTATTAAACAAAATAAAGCATTGAGTCAGCATAATATGGCTCCGGGATGATCTCATTCCTTCTGTATGTGCTCTGACTGTATTAATGAGTTTAATCTGCACATCAATACGTTGACTAATTGCAAAATTTGACACAAAGATGGCCGATTGACACCATTTTACATCCTGTTAGAGAGCAGAGTGATTATAAAGATAGAAACTCTGTGTTGGAATGTTGGAACCAATGGGTAATGTACCTATCTCAGAGTATGTAACCTAACTTATACTGCAGGATTCAGGATGACCACATACATGTCTCAGGCACTATGCATTCCTTACTACCTCTACTGGAAGGCTGATCCACGTATCTACTACCCTTTCTATATCACTGTAAGGCCGTACTGCTTCCACTGGAAGGCTATTATCTAATACCCTCTCTTTATCAATGTTAGCATTTACTGCTTCCACTGGAAGTCTCATCCATGTATCTACTACCCTTTCTACATCAACGTTAGCATTTACTGCTTCCACTGGAAGTCTCATCCATGTATCTACTACCCTTTCTATATCACTGTACTGCTTCCACTGGAAGGCTATTATCTACAACCCTCTCTCTATCGATGTTAGCATTTACTGCTTCCACTGGAAGGCTCATCCAGGTATCTACTACACTTTGACTATTATATAATTCTATAATACTATTAGACTTTCTCTACATCACTAGTAGTCTTCATTACACCCACTGGAAGGTTATTCCAGGTATCTACTACCCTTTATACATTACTATCCTAAGCCGATAGCACTTTGAAATCTCCAGACCATGCAAGGCAGTCATGGTCCATCTTACCTAAATGGTGCACTGGGGTTTCTACAGAAGAAACATCTGAATGTCCAGCAACTACTGTCGGCTTTGACCAGTATAACATTAATGATGCTGGAAGAACTGACTTTGTATTTATGAAGAATACATTTATTTATTTTTGTCCTTGTGAACCCCCAATAATTTGATTTCCGTAGACATATAATGAATAATCAGGAATCCTTATAAGACCCTGACATTAAATTTAATCAAATAGGGCCACCCTGGCCCCAGATAGTGGTCACTGGGTGGGCGGGATACTATCTGTCTACGCCCGGTTCTATAAATTGAAGAGCTGTACCCCTTTAAATCATAAGTATATACGTTACTAGTTACTAGGCAGCAAAAGCTGCCCACTCGCTAGTCTTTTCTTACAGCCATTTTTGCTGCTCACTGTTTAGTGGACATGCCCCCACTTTCTGCATGGTGACAGGTGGGGTATAAGCCCTCTCTTGTACTAATGTGGGGGTCATATTGTCCTCCACAGATTTTTTTTTTTTTTTTTGGAAGCTATGTAATGTGGCGACTGAGTGGCAAGCACTGGCCGGGCGATTCATGATTACCCATTGTACAGCGCTATAGAATTCGCTGGAGCTGTATAAATAATAAAATAATAATAATTACTCCTCGCACTGCAGAGGTGTCCTAATCAGATTTTCTGTTTTACAATCAAATTTCAGATGAACTGAAATGACACCTCCCTGAACGTCGTCGGTACCTAACACAATTCCAATTTTCGCTCAGAAGAACCAAAATGTTTCATCCAGCACAAATCTAATAAAAAATGCAGATTTTCTGTTAATCGAACCACTTTATATTGCAGGATTAAATCCACCTCTAATGAATGTCTACCAGGCAGCCACCAGAGGTGTTTCCACTGCCCTGACCGAGTAAAACATTGTTACATGACGTGGAAGCTCACAGGAAAGCATTGAACGCAAGCTTGGACATGCTTGGGGCAATCACCGCGCATGCACATAACCTGTTCCTATGAGGAACATTGAATTGGACCATCACCGGAGGAGGCCATGCTTCCTCAAACACTTTAATGGAAGGGAGGAAAAGTGAGTAGCACTGAGTGAGTCTTGGCACTGAAAAAGATGAGTAAAATCATTGTTTTATTAATTTTAATGGAGAGAGGGGCTGTATATGACCTGGGACAGGGGCTCTATAGCATTTTTATTCCTAAAGCTTTAGTGTTCCTTTAATATATAATAGAAATTATTGATTGCAATTGTTATTTTTTAATGAAATACTTACCCCTTCTTCATGCGCTATCCCAGTCACTGTCTCTCTGGCTGTGTGGGTGTTGGGATGCGTAGCAGCTCTACTCTAAGCAGAACAGATCTCTATAATTTCGGATTGCCAAGATATAGAACTATAATTCTGTAATTCATTTATAATAAGGAAAGGGGGGCTGTATCAGCAATAGTACCCATAATACGGCTGTAATGCAAATTCATTTATCTGCAAGAAGAAATATATATATATATAAAAATAAACTAAATTAAAAAAATTAAGTCATTTGAAGAAACAATAATTTTAGAAACAAATCATAAAGAAAAATAAAAACCAAGGACAAATCATGCTCCGTTAAAGATGATGTAAGAAATATATAGGGTTATTTTATTTTTTAAAGAAATGTACAATGTGCTTTAAAATAGGTAATTTAGGGCTTAGAATCATTGGTCCTTACATTTAATTCTGCACACAGATCATACAAACACAATTCAATATTTAAGCTGTATACCAGAACCTATTTTTTTTCCCCAAGTCTTTTTGTCTTGTATGGTGGTAAAAAAAAATAAAAAAGCCATACAGTGGTGACATCATTTTTTGCCTATATGCAGTGAGTTACTCAGGAAGACTCTGCTTCTCCAGAAGATGCTGTCCAATCACAGCACTCGCTGGCCTGGCCAATGAGAAGGCTTAGAGGTGATGTCATGGGGAGAGTCTGGCAGTGATACTGATGCTGAGGCTGTGTCTAGGAGATTTAATTCAGGGAGTTGAGCTGAAAGGACCACACCAGACTCCAAGGGAAAGGTGAGCAGACAATATCTTTCTATATAATAATGCATTGGGGGATAATTAAATAATATCTCATCTCAGGGATGGATTTTCCTTTAAAATGTTTCTAAGATTCTAATAGCAGCACAGATGGGTTCTATTATGTAAACATTGAGAAATGATACATGTATTATTATAAAGGGATACAATGATACATTATTGTTTAAATATTCTTTTCTATTGTAATACGTGTTGGTTAAATGGGGGAATACGTCACATTGTACGTTTCCAACTGGGATTTCACAAAAGGGGTTTATTTACTCAATTGTGATTTTTGGATGACAGACATTGTTTAGGCACAATATCCTGAATGGTAACATTGTGGAATGTCTCCGCTATTTGACTTGACATGTTTTTGTTCTCTTGTCCCCAATTCCCAACACAGTTAATTTGTGTGCTCTGTGCTGGTGTGACACCCTGTATACAGCACTCAGAACCAGCCATGTGAATCCCTGTTTGTGGGTCAGTGTGCTGTGTCTGTGTGGTGGCATGTGGTGTGGTACCAGCAGAGATTAAACACACCAGCTACATGTAATCTGTTAGACAGCCGCCTCATGCTGAGATTGGAAACAACTGACTGGGAGCAGCTGTGTGCATTCTCTGTCAGTACTGAGTGTCTGTGAGCATTCTCTGTCAGTACTGAGTGTCTGTGGGCATTCTCTGTCAGTACTGAGAGTGAGTGTCTCTAGGCATTATCTGTCAGCACTGAGAGTGAGTGTCTGTGGGTATTCTCTGTCGGCACTGAGAGTGATTGTCTGCAGGCATTTTCTGTCAGCACTGTGTCTGTGGGCATGATCTGTCAGCACTAAGTGTGAGTGTCTGTAGGCATTCGCTGTCAGCATTGAGTGTCTGTAACATTCTCTGTCATTACGGAGTGTCTAGGACTGTGGGCATTCTCTGTCAGCACTGAGTGTCTGTGGGCATTCTCTGTCAGCATTGAGTGTCTGTGGGTATTCTCTGTCAGCACTGAGTGTCTGTGGGTATTCTCTGTCAGCACTGAGTGTCAGTGGCCATTATCTGTCAGCACTGAGTGTGAGTGTCTGTGGACATTATCTGTCAGCACTGAGTGTGAGTGTGGACATTCTCTGTCAGCACTGAGTGTCTGTGGGAATTCTCTGTCAGCACTGAGTGTGAGTGTATGTAGGCATTCTCTGTCAGCACTGAGTGTCTGTGGGCATTCTCTGTCAGCACTGACTGAGTGTGAGTGTCTGTGGGCATTCTCTGTCAGCACTGAGTGTCTGTGGGCATTATCTGTCAGCACTGAGTGTGAGTGTCTCTAGGCATTCTCTGTCCGCAATGAGTATCTGTGGGTATTCCCTGTCAGCACTGAGTGTGAGTGTGTGTGGTCATTGTGTGACTGCACTCACTGTGGTTATATATGGGCTGCACTTCCTGTAAATAGCTGGGGCCTGAGGGCACTTTGTGACTGCACTGACTGAGTGGCTCTGGTTATCCTCAGATGGCACAGACCATGAATGAATTGATAGTATTCAGGCCCTGGTGTGAAGTTAGTGGGCGGAGTGTGAGCAATAGATTGCTAGCTTGATACATTTTAACTAGAGACCCACCCAGGCCAATAGTCTTCAGTACTGAGGTGGTCAGTCTAGTAAATGAATAAATTATCTCTTCCCAGAGCCGGACTAGGTGGGCAGCAGAATAGGACTTTCTCTAATTGTACAAAAACACAGAAAACAGAATCACCGAAAATCACTCGTCTTTCTCAAGAAAACTCTTGCAAAAGTCCTCTATGATGGAATGTCTCATGTGACATCATGTATTTACTAAATTATACCACATATACTATAGACTGCTGTTGAAACATGAAGCAATCAATTGGTGTGATATTGGGAATATTTCTTCAAAAAAACTACAGAAGCAGACTTTACAGAAAGTAATATTTCCGGTGGTCATGGGGTAACTAAAGCAAAGCAGCATGCTTTTCCCCAGCACCCCCAGATTTTACATCAGAAAATCTGTTATTAACTGCCCTACTCTGAACTGTATCTGGTCATTGGGTGCCTGAAGATCCAATGACTGGTGTAGCGAATGTTGTACTTCCTGCTGCTCTGTGATTGGCTGATGTTGCCTATACCAATCATAGCTCTGTATGGTATGGCCAATGAACGTGCCTCTGACAAAGGCTTTACTACATCTGTACCTCTGAAAAGCCAGAGAAGGCCACACTTTTTTGGGAGTACACTAAGGATGGGCAAAGGTCTACCACTAGGCCCCCAACATAAACATGGGCCCAAGGCAGTTGACTAGGTTTTATTGTGGGTATTCTTGCCCTGTATCTTCAACGTGCCTACTCTTCCATTCCATATCCGTATCTCCAATCATTGCTTCACACCTCTATCAGCTCTATTATTATTATTTATAACGCGCCAACAAATTCCGTAGCGCTGTGCAATAGGTGGATTAAGAGACATGAATTTGCAACAATATGAGTTGGACACGCAGGACCAGGGGCTGTCGAGGGCCCTGCTCAAACAAGCTCTGCCCAATGACCTCATCCTTGCATTTTAACTATTTGAGCATTAGAGTAATGAACATCACATCGTGCCATGCATTGTTCACCTTAAGTCGCATTTAGGTGAGGATGGTGGCATCAACGTCCATGGTGATGCCACTATATGTATTTTGTTTCTTTAACACCGTGTCCTTTCATCAATAATTATTGTTTTCACATTATTTCAGGGCATCCTGATCACACCTTTAAATGCAGACTCTCCCTGAAATGAGAAATGAAGTTTCACTAAAACTTTTAAAAATATTTATAGAATATTTATTTTAGTAACCACTGGGTGGCAGTGTTACCATGTTTTATTCTACAATAATCAACTTCACATCTTCTATTATGATTCTCTGTAAAGAAGGTGGTTGTCAATCATTTGATTAATACCAACTTCACTATAAGTTTATTATTTGTACTGTTTAATCTACCTTGCCACGAAAGGTTAATCTCAATATATATTTTTATATTGATTTGTCATTTAGTGTAAAGGAACATTATAGGGTTAGGAACACCTACATGTATTCCAGAGCCTAGAGTGTTAAAAGTACCATCTAACCCCCAGGCCCTCCCTTGACCCCCTAAATATAGTATAATCTTAATTTTATTCCAGTCTGCTGCTGCTGACTCTGCCCCTGTTCTGCCTGCTTGGCTGCAGTGTTGATCTGAGCTATACCATAGGAAAGCATAGGACAAGCCAAACACAGTGCTGGCCAATCAGCATCTCCTCATAGAGATGAATTGAATCAATGCATCTCTATAAGGAAAGTTCAGTGTCTGCATGCAGAGGGTGGAGACACGGAATGTCAGTCACACTGTGCAGCACTGCCCCAGGAAGCAGCTCTAGTAGCCATATGGGGAGTGGCCAGTGGAGTTATCACTGGGCTGTAGTATAAACACTACATTTTCTCTGAAAAGACAGGGTATACAACAAAAAGCCTGAAGGGAATGATTATACTCAGCAGAACAAATACAATAAACTGTAGTCGTTCTGATGACTATAGTGTCCCTTGAAGGATCTCTAAAGTTATCACTGGGATAACTGCATCAAAAAGGAGACTTTGGCACCACACTGCGAATGACTACATGTTTCTTACTGCTAAGCCAGCTATAAACTCACGGATACAATTTTTGTTTTTGCCTTTAAAAAAATAAATCTCTATGTTATCCAATGTAGTGCTATAATTACTCAGGAAGGACTGATTCAGGAAGACATACAAAACTGGATTACAATTAAACATTTTACACAATTCCCTCTGAGTTAAGGGTTTCTGACCTGCTATTTGTTAAGTTACATGTTTTCATTGTCTTGGGCAGTATGTTAAGAGTAATGCCGCTCTGTAGAATTAACTTGCCAGAGAAGGTCAGTCAGCTAATTACTCAAGAAAGTTCTTTTACTATTGATTTATATAATGCAGCACATGAATGCTACATACAGTGCAAGGCAGCATTCTACACAGTGAAGAAGTGACGTCTATCCAGGAGAACATGATGGCTCTGGCAATCCTGGAGGAATGGCTTGGGGAGGGATTTCACAGACGCCCCTATAGGTCAAGGCAATAATTAAAACATCTCTACCTGATACACAGAAAGGTTTATTAATAAGATAGATGTGTAGTAGATGATATTCCAAATGGAAAACTGAAGAGAAAATATCTTATCTGTAAAAACTATTTCAACTCCGCTATAGTCATCATAGCGTAGATATTTTATCTTCGGTTTTGCCATTTGGATTGTTAGCTTCTACAACCAGAAGTTTAGCAGCAAAATGCTAATTACAAAATTATCCTTCCTCCTCTTGTGAATAGGGCATTGCCCTTCTTTATTTGTTACAATGTGACTGTGTCCTATTCTTGCCTCTGTTCAACTCTGCATAATATACGTTCATTATAAACAATGAATAACTAATAGCAGCAGCAAAATAAGGGGGTATAGAGGGCTAAGTTCAAAGAAAGCTTAGCAGGCACTATCCCACCTGTGCCTTCTCCGACATGGTTCCCCTAGAATGTTTCACTTGTGTCTCTGGAGATGAGAGAACAGGTTTAGCCTATACTATCAACAATCAGGCGTGGCAGAGATAATTATGCAAATATGCAAATTGACTGCTATAATGGAAATGGAATATTTGGCCTCGATCTAATAATCCTTACACTTGATTCAATACTGTTAGAACAACTTCCCAAACGGAAAGTCGAGTGCAGGACTGTGGATTATATATTTATTTATCTGACTTTCTCAATGATAGAAATAGCGGTGTAGGTCCTCATTCTCAGTGATTCCGAGTAGCCTGGCAGAGCGCTCTGTGTAGACAGGAGACATTCCTTCCATGGAATATTGATGGATAGAGAGACCAGGCTTTGTCTTGTCCTGTGACCCACGGTTTGTACCAGTTAAATCTATCCTGTCCTTCCATAACTAGCCTGTCGTTAGCCTCTCATTATGCCGTGTGAATAAGGGACAGGCACCGTGTCTCAACAGCGTTCACAACACCATACAAACCCACTGGTGGAATTTCTGCCAAAACACAAATATTTACATTTAAACATTACGAAACAATTACCACAGATTCTGACAAAATTAGTTCACTACTGGTTTAGCCCAGCAGGAGGAACTCTGTGTTAAGTGCTTTAGCTTTGGTCGGGAGGGGGGTGTAAACCAATTGTTATGGTGGAGATTTTTTTTTTAATATTGGTTTTAGAGACTATTGTTGGTTCACGAGAGTTCCTGGCAGCTCATATGTAGTGAAGCGGTTAATAATATCAAGATACTGTGTGTTTTTTATTTTTATGAAACGTGTGTATGAGTACGTTAAAGCACCGTAATGCAAAATTCAAATTCTTCATCTTTTTATTTATTCATTTATTTAACAGAAAATACCTCAATCTGTGGCCGTTTGTCTTAAATTAAAGCAGCACCAAAACTTGCTCATCATGACTCTGGCAGGTAAGTTACCCTTTCCGTTTGTTTACAATTTTCTGCATAATAAAATGTGATCAACATTGTGTGTCCCCTTTTTTTTTAATATATGTTTAATTTTAGTGACTATTTACAATTATGGGCTTCCCTTCCCTTAGGCACAGTCAGAATGCTAATTGGATTCCCTAGCTGTCTGATTGGATTGATCACTAAAAGCCGACAAACCTATAATCAAATGATTCAGAAGGGGAAACGGCGATGACCTAAGCTTTATATTAACATTCTGACATGGCTTCAAAAACAAAGCCCATCAAAATGAATTCAAACATTTACACAAACAAAAAAAACATAAAAATAGGACATAGCCTCATTTATTGTGTCCTAATACACATGATTAGTAAAAAAGAAAAAAACAGGGACTAATGAAAGTATTTCAAAAATTGGGCAGACTAGATGGGCCGAACGGGTTCTTATCTGCCGTCACATTCTAGGTTTCTATGTTTCATATTTAGTTTGGATTTGATTTTATGATACATTGTTTTTGTAATTCTTTTTATTCTATTAACTTTCTACAAAAAATGTCACACAAGACATATAAATCGTTCTTAACTCTGCTAACTTAAAATGTGATCTTTGTGAATACTTTACTTATTATTTTCATTGACTCGACAATAAAAGAGTTTAAAACTAAAAATGGGAAAAATTTAAAAAGCGGCATTGGACAAATCTGCTAAAACCCATTCAGAGAAAGTGACATTGCTTTATTTTTCACCCACAGCCTACAAAGACAAGATCAAGGAGCTCCCTCTAGTGTCTCTTTTCTGCTCCTGTTTTCTCTCTGATCCTTTGAAAAACCAAAATTACAAATATGACGGTAAGCATGCATCACTAACACATTGAGGCACATAATTCCATCATTCTATGTTATATTCTTCATTAATAGCCGTAATTCCTGACACTCAGTGAAGGATTTCCTTATACCAATAATAATGTATTCAGAGACTCATGTGTTGATATTTTTTCACATATTGATATTTTTTTTTATTCATTATATATTTTTTGATATTATAATGCTACTTCGCCACTATAATATATTGGAAAAAATATTTTAAAAGTTTATCAAAAAATATTTAATTATTTGCAAAGGTTACACGTTCTATTTGACAAGTCACTTTTTCTCTATGTAGTTGCCCGTTTCATTGTACATATTGGTTACCATTTTCTATTCATTTACCTAGTACTATTTGCAAAGGTTAACCAACAATATTAAATCAAGGCCTTTGTTCTTTAGTCTATCTAACTGATACATACATTACGCCAGATTTCCCCAATAACCAAAATCAATATAAACGGCACAGAAAACTAGTCTTCACTACTTAATTGTAATCCTTATTAATAACATAACTTTAACACAGAGCTTCAATTATTAATCGTTAAAATTAGTTATTTTAAGATAATTTTTGTCTCGCAACCTAGAAAGACATAACATAGCATTATTTTTAGATCATTCGGAAAGACATGTGAAAGTCCCCAAAATTCTGCCAGATAGTCTGTATTAGGTATAGTAAAATATTCTCTCCAAAAAGGCCAAACTCTATTCTGCAATGTACTCTATATTTATCATTTTACCACTTTACCGTATAATTTATTTCAGTCTATGTCAGATTAATGAGTAATTAAAATATCCTGTTCTCAGACACTGTAGACCTTACATGGTGTGTGATCTCGGACATGGAGGTCATAGAATTAAATAAGAGAGCCTCTGGCCATGCCTTTGAAGTTATCCTTAAGCCCCCTTCATTCGATGGAATTCCAGAGTTCAATGCCTCTCTCCCACAACGGCGAGATCCGTCTCTAGAAGAAATCCAAAAGAAACTCGAAGCTGCTGAAGAAAGGCGCAAGGTAGGAGATCTCCTTCCTCAATAGAAAAAAAAAGGTCACGTCTCTAATTCTTGGGCAGGACTCCAAAACCTTGCTGTGTGAGACCCCAGAGATGTGGCCCCTGGCTTCTATCTAGAATAATTTACATACTGTGTTAATCATTAAATCAGGGTATTGGAAAGATTCTTAGACACTGGGGAGGTCCGTTGAAGGAGTTTTCCAGAATTTGTTTTATATTATAATTTTAAAAAAGGCTCCCTTTTGGTAATTTTAAATTTGAAAAATTGGTTTCCAATCTAATACTATGTAAGTAATTTGGATTACTCAACAATAAGTTAAGAATATTTTTCTACAGAGCTGGTGAAAAAAAAAAATGTGTTTACATTTATTATACATGGAAAAGTAAAAGTGACCTATCTTGTTACTAAATATTCTAAAGTGATTGGGAGTTAGTCATGCACTAGCATCAACATGGAAAACAGAACAGTCCCATCAAATTCCAGTGGGGGGTAAAATAAACAAATATCTATTATTAAAGTCTATTTCATATTATATTTTTCATATATATAAATATTTCCTTTAGAGACTTAGAGATTGCCTTTAGAGACGTAGAGATTGTCTCAGTGTCTACTTCTGCTATAGATATTTTCTTGCGAAAGATTGCATGATACAACTGAAACTTAGATCCTCCATGAGATAAACTGTCCAATGTCTCTTATAGTACCAAGAAGCTGAGCTTCTCAAGCACTTAGCCGAAAAGCGTGAACACGAGCGTGAAGTCATTCAGAAAGCCATCGAGGAGAACAACAACTTCATCAAAATGGCCAAGGAGAAACTAGCACAGAGAATGGAGCTCAACAAGGAGAACCGTGAAGCCCACCTAGCCGCCATGCTCGAACGCCTGCAGGAGAAGGTTAGTTAGAAGTGGTAAGAATGCGTTCCTCTTAACTTTTTCCCCCCATTCAAATCCAATTAAAAAAGAAAATCACAATGAAAGTGAAAGGAAGAATTTCCATAAATCATCTTTCCAAGGCATCATGACTCAAAGGAACATGTGTCTAGATGCAGAAAATCTCCAAGAACATTTAATTAATATTAAATATAGTTGACCGAAGGAGAAGCTCTGCAAGAGATGTGCATAGTTCATTGTATAAAAGAAGGAATTCTACAGTATCAATGTCTTACAGTGCTATTTCACTAATAAACTGGGCTCCAAATGCAGACAGGAAGGTTCAGAGAAATAGAGCTATCTTTTCCATTTCGCACTATTACCGAGTTTATGAAGGCTGTGGAGTTTTCATTGACCACAGCTGTGGTACTTACTATATCTCGATTGCTAGAATCTATAGCCGAGGTACTTAAGATCATATCTACAACTAGGATATTTTGAGCCAGTACCTATGTGATAGGCTGTACAATTATCCTTTCTTCTAGCTGTGATACATAGTTTTATTAGTTTTCACAGCAACAACACTTGGCTAAGTGGGCTGTGATGTGGTTATCACCCACAGATGAGATATATATTCTATTAGACAGTAACCCACTATTATAGCGAGAAGTAGTCAAGGATACGGCCATCAGAGGTTTCTGATGACCCTTTTATACTTTCCATCATGAGTTAAAGGGTTACTTCTGTGTAAAATGCCCTATTGGGAACTATGGATGAGGTCCCCCCACTCTGTTTGCAATAAAAAAAAAAAAGGCTTTAACTTTCCTTGAAGCTCATAGTGCTGACTTCCACACCTCGTCCTCAAGTCACAGGGGCCGCATGCTCCTAGAGAAACCTGTGAGTGGACCAAGTGCCGGATCAGATCGCATGTTATTCCTACAATGTGTGTGCACTGCGCCGAAGGGAGGCGGAGGAACGGTTTGCTTTTTTAAAACTGTCTGCAATGGAGGGAGGCAGGAGGGTGCACCTACAGCGAGAGACAGTGGGAGAGGAGAGTTAGTTTTCCCTTTCAGGCAATCTATCAGTGCACACTCATGACAGACATAAAATCTGCACATAATTCACATTAGACAGCCCAGAACCAATGTCACATGTAATGGGTGTGTAACTAGCCCCAAACATACAATTAGCAATATCTCAATTTTTGCAGAGTTTCAAGCAGAAACATTGCATATAATAACTCCTACCAAATCACTGAAGTGGTCATGGTGGTTGAAGTAATGCTTTAAGGCATATGCATATCTGTGGTTTTATCTTTCTATACGAACATTGAGAAAATGTATAATACATACCTTCTGGGATTCCCCCACAAATGTCCCATCCATGGGGTACGTTTGGATTTATGTATTCGGTGGGTATTCTGAGACAGGACATATAACTCATTGGTTGGTGTTTCAGGGTTTTATATCCTGCAATCTGCTATTTATTGGACATATATAACAATAACATTTTATGTGCCATGAATTTGCCCATTCTCACATCCAAATGTTATATTTTCTAACATGTTGCATTAAAGAGAGTGTTTAACGTGAGATTCTGATCCAGCAGTTCTCTCACTCCGATACACTTACTGTGCTCTCACTGGCAATGGGAGTAATAGAACTCTGATACCCTTCCTATTGGCTCCCCTTACTGTGAATGAAATATATATTCTCTATTTACCTCTCTCGCTGGCAGGAATTTCTGATATTTGTTTACTCAGGCAGTGGGTTAGTTACTTTCTATATATACATGTAAATAGGTTTTTTATTATTTGTAACCATAAATGTTACTTGGGAATGTTATTCAGTGGAAAGTTTCTCTGAGCCTTCCTGAATTTGGAATCTAGTTAGTTTTGAAGGCTAGGTCTTGGATAGGTCTATTGGCACGAGACTAGTTTTAGCCTAGGTGCCTTATATACGCTCTGAGTAGGAGCTACTTCACAGATAAACTGTTGAATGTAGATAGCACTCGTGTAACAAAAGACTCCGCTATTGTATGTCAAATACCTGAATAATACTATGCAACATTATTGTAACTGTGTTATCAACAATAACGCTTGTCTGTTTCTCCTCTCCAGGACAAACATGCAGAGGAAGTCAGAAAAAACAAAGAGCTTAAGGAAGAAGCCTCCAGGTAGAAGATTGGGGCTCTGACAATTTGGACTGAGGACTCCAAAGGGCGCCTGAGCGGCCCAGCACAATGTTTTGCTTTATATGTTTGTCAATGTCAAGAGATGACCCATAATTTTTTGGAAAAGGATATAATGGTGGGTTGGTGTAAAGGGAGTGTTTGGCTATCTCATCCAAAACATGTCCTAGAAAGTCGTACCCATGAACCTAGCCTTTCGACCTAATCTCCATGTCAAACCAAGTACGAGCAGTTCATTAAGAGCTGGCAAGACAGCTTCGCTCTGATGGGAAACGCGCTTGTGGTTTTCTCCTCCTCTAGCGCAAGTGAACCAACTGTGCCCGATATCTGCTATAGACAACGCTGTTAAATGGCACTGATTTTATATGTTTACCATTATCTCATCAATACACACCATTTTCAGGTTATCTTTCAGTTTCCGTGTTGTTCTTTATATATCTCTTCAAAATGTATCAGAATCCTTGGCTAAAATATCATAAATGTGTTTTGAGGGTAAATGTGCTGCCATTTAAGGTTTTCAGACTATAAAACACATTGATTTACTATGAAGAATTCACTCAGAAAAAAAACCTCCTTACTGGTGGTCCTTATGCATAGATTTGTCAATGGGACCTACTTAATCCAGTTTTTATTTGAAATTTTAATCACTAGTTATACTCCCTTTTAAAGTTAACCTGTCACATCAGAGACGATAAATCGAGTCAGCTATGTTGCCGTTATAAGGAAGAAGCAATAGGTTCTATTTTTATGGTGCTTATCATTGCTGGTATGTAATAGACCTTCGTGGCAATGCTGATGTTTTTATCATTGGTGACCTAAGCTACCTACACCACAATGCTACTCCTCTCAGCCGAATATAATAAAATCTAGTATTACAAATAGGATCTGAATATATAAAATATGGCAACTGAATATCAAAAGCATAGCTTGGAGTTTATTCATTAGATAATTAGTTGTGTTGAGCTGACAAATTATTTGCAAAATGCGTGGTTTAAATTTTAAGTGTCTTGTTACGTTACCGGAGCAATTTTGTAATCTTATATTGCCATTTACGGACCACCTTATACCTAGACAGGTGCAGACATTTGTTTCGTTCATACACAAATTCCATTATTCCATCTGGAAAATTAATGGATAAATTAGTTGGCTTGGGTGCTGACTGTAATGCTTTTGATTTGGATCAATTTGCTTATGGACAAAACACGTTTTTGCACAACTACTTATAACTAAGCATGTGACCAGTGTCCACCTGTGTTTTCCTCCCAGGTCCCTGAACAGTTCCCATTCGGTAAAAACTATACGATTTTGGGGTGCTGTCCTGATTTTGTCCTCAGGCAGCACAGCTCAAGTGCATCGTTAGAGTCGCTTGCACTGTGAACGAGCATTAGGACCATACATAGAGCACTTCTCTCTGGAAAGTCCTGTAGATTGTGAGCTGGCTAGATAGGCCTCTTTTATGAGTGTTTATAATCCCATAGCTTAGAGTTATGGCCTCCTGTGTACTGTACATTCCAGCTTGATCTCACTTTATGAATCTGATCCATATAGAAACCGAGATACTGTAAATGCTGGTTATGTGGAGATACTGCCATTCTGGAATGCTATGAGGGACACATCATCAAAAAGGCATTAAACGTATCTCTATTTATAAATGATGGTCCCATGGTTTCTGCAGTAATTCTTATTAATTCCAGTAATTTGAAGACTTTATATTGCAGTAGTGACAAAAAGAAAAGGACAATGACAGCAATTAATGGGGTCTGTTATCAGATATAGTTGAGCATTGAGCATCATCAGAGAATTCAAAGAACAATGTCCTGTTCCTGACACAGTGTAAAGCTGAGAGCTGCTCTGATTGGCTGATGACATCACATCGTTTCTTGTCTTGTTTTTTATCAATAACTGCTACCGAGGGTTTTAAAATTGTGACGCAATTCAAGATGGCTGTCTCCATGCCTAAACACTGAAATATCCCCAAGTGATAATGGCAGCTACATTTCTATTTGGGTTTTTTAAAAATTGTTTTAAATGTTTTAAACTGATTTGTGCTAATTCTAATGCAGTGCCTCTTTAGGAACAAAGAGGGGAATTAAAATATTCGTAACAGAAAGGTGAAGCAAAGATAAAATGAAGTTAACAAGTTGAGCAATTAACACAAAAAGTCAATGTAATCAGTATGAACGGAGCACTGATTTGGTTTGATCAGACATGATTGCTCTGATTTTAGAGTTGCACCACTTATTTCTTAGCAATACGTTTAGAAATCTTATCCACAGACAGTAAAACAAGCATCATTATTAATAACGAAAAAACAAAAATCAATAAAACCTGAAGAGACTGTAGCGAAAACCCATATACTAAATAGGGATTGATATTCTGTAAGAGCTACCTCTCCACCTCTCCAATCAAGGCTGGATTCAGAAGTTGAGAAGCCCATCAGGCAATGATGAAAGTTCGTCAGATTCTGAAATGTAAGTGCTGGTTAGATTGAAAGAAGGTGGAAACTAGATACTGTACGATGTACAGGAATGGCAGGCCTGAAATTTACTGTTCTTGAAATATATGTCAAGATTTAGCTATCATTGGACACTAAAGTTGAATTTTCAGAATTCTGGATACTGATCCTGTTGAGGGGGACTAGTCTAGGAATATCGAAGACCCTGCCTTGATCATAACCTCAGGCAATGGTCTGTCCCATGACTTGTTCTAGAAGAAGAGACAGGGAAGATCAAATATTCCGGGAATATGTTACATCAATACAGGAATATTTGGCAAGTATTGGAAGGACTCAAAGGAACACACCAGGTACCCTAACAACCTTCTTGAGTTAAACCTGTCTTCTGTCTGGCACCATTCAGCTCTGCTGCCTTTACTTCTGTTTGAGTTAAAACATGAGGCCTCGGCCTGGGTGCCGCTGAAAGTCTGAGAGCTTCTGAGAGAGTTGCCCCCCCCCGCCATTTACAAAACAGCTTGAGAAAAGTGCGTATTTTCCTAAAGCCAGTTTGTGAATTGGTAGCTACAGAGCATCAGCTGGACGTATAACTGCGCAAATGACTAACGTAATGGAAGAGCATGTTCATTTGCTTCTGGACTCGGAGTCCAACCTGTGGCAGTAAAAAAAGAGATGGGAAACAAGATGATTGATGGCTAAGGCACAGTAATTATATGTTGACTTTGTTCACAGATCAGTTGAGGAGTGACCGAGGGTAAAAAAAAGAAGTGATAAAATCTATATTTATGTATAATATATTTAAGAAATATATATATAATATTTTTACTGCTAATCCACTTTTTCTCTCTACAGGATATTTTTTTTCTCATTTGATCTGTGAACTAAATGTCTATAAAATGTGTCAATGAATGTCCTACAAAATATCTACATTATTTATATATATATATATATACACTGCTCAAAAAAATAAAGGGAACACTTAAACAACACAATGTAACTCCAAGTCAATCACATTTCTGTGAAATCAAACTGTCCACTTAGGAAGCAACACTGAGTGACAATCAATTTCACATGCTGTTGTGCAAATGGGATAGACAACAGGTGGAAATTATAGGCAATTAGCAAGACACCCCCAATAAAGGAGTGGTTCTGCAGGTGGTGACCACAGACCACTTCTCAGTTCCTATGCTTCCTGGCTGATGTTTTGGTCACTTTTGAATGCTGGCGGTGCTTTCACTCTAGTGGTAGCATGAGATGGAGTCTACAACCCACACAAGTGGCTCAGGTAGTGCAGCTCATCCAGGATGGCACATCAATGCGAGCTGTGGCAAGAAGGTTTGCTGTGTCTGTCAGTGTAGTGTCCAGAGCATGGAGGCGCTACCAGGAGACAGGCCAGTACATCAGGAGACGTGGAGGAGGCAGTAAGAGGGCAACAACCCAGCAGCAGGACTGCTACCTCCGCCTTTGTGCAAGGAGGAACAGGAGGAGCACTGCCAGAGACCTGCAAAATGACCTCCAGCAGGCCACAAATGTGCATGTGTCTGCTTAAACGGTCAGAAACAGACTCCATGAGGGTGGTATGAGGGTCCAAATTCCACAGGTGGGTGTTGTGCTTACTGCCCAACACCGTGCAGGATGTTTGGCATTTGCCAGAGAACACCAAGATTGGCAAATTCGCCACTGGCACCCTGTGCTCTTCACAGATGAAAGCAGGTTCACACTGAGCACATGTGACAGACGTGACAGAGTCTGGAGACGCCGTGGGGAACGTTCTGCTGCCTGCAACATCCTCCAGCATGACTGGTTTGGCAGTGGGTCAGTAATGGTGTGGGGTGGCATTTCTTTGGGGACCGCACAACCCTCCAAGTGCTCGCCAGAGGTAGCCTGACTGCCGTTAGGTACCGAGATGAGATCCTCAGACCCCTTGTGAGACCATATGCTGGTGCGGTTGGCCCTGGATTCCTCCTAATGCAAGACAATGCTATACCTCATGTGGCTGGAGTGTGTCAGCAGTTCCTGCAAGATGAAGGCATTGATGCTATGGACTGGCCCGCCCGTTCCCCAGACATGAATCCAATTGAGCACATCTGGGACATCATGTCTCGCTCCATCCACCAACGTCACGTTGCACCACAGACTGTCCAGGAGTTGGCAGATGCTTTAGTCCAGGTTTGGGAGGAGATCCCTCAGGAGACCATCCACCACCTCATCAGGAGCATGCACAGGCGTTGTAGGGAGTCATACAGGCACATGGAGGCCACACACACACGAATGAGCCTCATTTTGATTTGGTTTAAGGACATTACATCAAAGTTGGATCAGCCTGTAGTGTGTTTTTCCACTTTAATTTTGAGTTTGACTCCAAATCCAGACCTCCATGGGTTGAAAAATTTGATTTCCATTTTTTAATTTTTGTGTGATTTTGTTGTCAGCACATTCAACTATGTAAAGAACAAAGTATTTCAGGAGAGTATTCAATTCTAGGATGTGTTATTTTTTTGTTCCCTTTATATTTTTGAGCAGTGCATAATATAAGTTTAATGGCACTCACCCTTGCTGGTTACACAGTAGTTAATTATATGCCCTGGTGCATTCCCGCACTGAAGTTATATACAATATGTATAAACAAAGGATGCACTCTCCAGTTATTCAAACAGTAGAAAAGTATTTAATCCATCAAAAGGTATACAATAATATGATCGACGTTTCGACCTATTCGGGTCTTCCTCAAGACTCTTTATACATAGTGTATATATATATATATAAGCGCCAACAATGGGTGGGCTAACAGACATATTTGTAACCAGACAAGTTGGACACACAGTAACAGAGGGATTGAGGGCCCTGCTCAGTGAGTTTACATGTTAGAGGGAGTGGGGTGTAGTGACACAGTAACAGGGGGATTGAGGGCCCTGCTCAGTGAGTTTACATGTTAGAGGGAGTGGGGTATAGTGACACAGTAACAGAGGGATTGAGGGCCCTGCTCAGTGAGTTTACATGTTAGAGGGAGTGGGGTATAGTGACACAGTAACAGAGGGATTGAGGGCCTGCTCAGTGAGGTTACATGTTAGAGGGAGTGGGGTATAGTGACACAGTAACAGAGGGATT